TGTCTTTCTTGGGTATTCTCTGTCTCATCTCGGTTATCACTATCTTGATGTGGTGAATAATCATCTTTATGTTGCTCGTCATGTCAAGTTTGATGAGCAACTATTTCCCTTTAAACGTCCTCTCTCCACTTCTCCATCTTCGCTGCTGGAATCTTCTGCCACTCCTTTGTTGCGTGTGACCAGTTCTCCTGCTGTACATGTCTCAAATCCTACATCCGCTGCTTCTCCTCCTATTTCTTCCATTCCTATGGCCTCTTTACCTAGTTCTCCCGGTCCTTCCGCTTCGCCAGCATCTTTATCTATTTCTCTTGCATCCAACTCCCCATCATCTGAGTCCAGTTCCCCTTCACCACCTCCTTCTCATCCTCATTCAATGGCACTCCGCCCTAACCCCATGCCCAAGAAGATCTTTGATCCCTCAGCTCATCTTGCCTCTGTTTCACCACTTCTGCCTGTTGCTCCTACATCGTTCACTTAAGCCAAGTCTATTCCTCAGTGGCAAAATGCCATGAAAGATGAAATCTCTGCCCTTCTCAAAAATAATACATGGACATTAGTTCCCCCTCCTTCGTCCGGCAATGTTGTCGAAAAGCGATGGCTTTATAAGATTAAGAACCATGCTGATGGTTCTATCGAGTGCTACAAGGCTCGGTTAGTGGCTCGAGGCTTCACTCAATCTTTTGGGGTTGATTACACTGACACTTTTTTAAGTCCCGTTTTCAAGCCAGTCACTATTCGCTCGGTTTTGACAGTTGTCTTGGCTCGTGGGTGGTCAATTTCTCAGCTTGATGTCAATAATGCCTTTCTTAATGGTGTTTTGAGTGAAACTGTCTATATGGTTCAGCCTCAGGGTTTTGTTGATCCGATATGCACTCATTATGTGTGTAAGCTGCATAAGTCCTTATATGGGCTTAAGCAAGCTCCTCAGGCTTGGTATTCCCGGTTGGCTACATTTCTAGTCACCTTGGGATTTGTGGAGTCTCACTATCATCCTTCCCTCTTTGTGCACTACCGAGGATCTCATATGTGTTTTCTGCTAGTTTATCTAGATGACATTGTTATTACGGGTAGCACATCTGGTTTTGTTCAATATTTTATTTCTTGTCTTGCTAATGAGTTTTCTCTTTGAGATTTGGGTCTTTTGAGTTACTTTTTTGGTGTCGAGGTTCATCGCACCTCCTGGGGTTTACTCCTCTCTCAGCATAAGTATGTTACTTATTTACCACGACTTGCCAATATGCATACTTGTAAGCCTATTTCCACTCCTATGCAAGCTGGTGTTGTGTTGTCTCGTTTGGATGGTACTCTATTGTCTCCTGATGAGGCGAATAACTATCGTCTAGTGTGCAGTATACCACTCTTACCCGACCGAATTTCTGTTTTGCGGTTAATAAGATTTGTCAATTCATGCATCAGCCCCGGACTTCTGGTGGATGCTGTTGTTGATGCACTTCCAAAAGAATATTTATAAAACCTACTTAAAACTACTAGCTAGCGGTAAGCAAGGTCATTCCATAGAGATAGCAGTCAACCACTCAAAATCTGATTAAAGTGCAAGAAAAGGAAAGTGAAAGAGTTAAACAGATTTGTCACTTGGGAGAGTGAGAATAGTCACTTGACAGAGTGAAGAGGCAGAATGGTCAATCACTTCCAACCTTTATGATCCAGTTTTGATTCAAGTAATCTTTTAGTGTATGATTTGTTGTTTGATCGGGCACATGGGTTCTTTACAACCCCTCTTAGATAAAGTCAAGAGTCTTAGATTACTAAATTATCTACCTCTCAGTCAGATTATTCAGATTAATCTAAGCCATTGATTTCTTAAGCCCTATTGACCACCTATGCCAATCACCTAACTCTCGTTGATGATTGAAACCAAAAGGTAGATTTTCTCCTTTGTCATAGACTAATTTAAGTCGTTCTAAGTTATGTTTGCCCTTTCAGAACTCCATAACATGCATGCACATTTAATTAAGTGGCCAGTTTAATTAAAAGGTTAATTAAAACACTTAAACTAGAAACAATGCCTCATCAAGGAAAACTGAATCAAAACCTTCACATAAAGATAGTACGGATTGAACCCTTAACTGAGTTACCTACTCATGTTTATTGAGTTAAATATGAGAGCAACAAAGTACAAAAGATAAGACATAATTCAAGATCAAAAGGTTAGAGGATAGAAGGGAAAGATGGTAGTAGGGGCAGTTACTGTCTGTTCACTTTTGCGAGTGGTGTTCGCTACTTGGCAGAGTAACAATCTGCTCTCTTGTTCCTGCTACTACCTTATTTTTAGCCAACTAACTAACTACCTAACTACTATTTTTGCAACTGATTCTAACTACCCAATCTGTTCTCTCCCTAACTAACTGCTATTTTCTGACTATTTATAGAGATTTGGAGAGGCTTGGATTGGTAGAATTCTAGCCTTTCTTGTAGCAGATTGGAGGAGACAGCAAATTGCAGCAGCTGAAGGCATTTGTTTATTCAGCAACTTGCCTAGTTGGCAAGTTGTTGTCTTCTCTTGGCAGCTCCTTCTACTCTTCAGCCTCAATCAGCAACCTTCTACTCATCATTTATTCTTCTCCATAGTGTTCTTCTCCAGTGCATCCTTACCATTTGCAGCCACAAATCTCCATTTCTTCATTCTTTAATCTACACAGCTCAATTTGCGGCAGTCAGCTAGCAGCAGCATCAGCATCATGCTTCCTTCCATCATTGTGTTTCCAGCCCCCAATTCAGACTCAATCTTCTACCGGTTTCTTCCTTGTTTCCTGGATCACTTGCTATACCATTGCTCACCCTTCTACAAAAGCCAATCCATCAACTCAGCAGTAGCATCAGTCGGTAAGTAGCAGAGTTGCAGCTGTTGTTCTTCACATATTCTCCATCTTTCTCTTCTTCCACTTGCAGCAACAACAACTTGCAGTGATGGCAAAGCAATTTCCTTCTTTGGGCACCAAGACTTCAGCTCGTGGCTCTTCCTTGATTGACAGCAGCAACAGCTACTACAACAGCAACTTGGCAGCAGAATAGCTACCATTCTTCTCTTCAATTGAGTGTGCTGCAGTAGATTCTTCCCGATTGTGATCATCTGCTGCCATTCTTCCTTCCTAAGCAAGGATTTCTCTACTTGCTTCAGCTCTGATCATCCTTCCAGTAGCTTGAATTCCGACAGCTTCCAAATTAGTCCAGAATGATGCTCTTTTGTACAATTTAGCCCTCATTTATGCTGATTTTTCATATTGGCCCTTTGACTACCCTGAAATACAAAATATACCCAAAAAAACTAATTCGAATTAATTGACACATAATTCTAAGTAAAAATGAGTTGAAAATACCTGCTAACAGTGTATATATTTTACTGTCATCAACTTCTCATTTTCAAGCTCTCAAACGGATCCTTCGCTATCTTCGTGGCACCATTGATTATTGTTTGGTTCTGTATCTCATTGATTTGGGCACTCTTACTGCCTTTAGTGATGCTGACTGGGCTGGTTGTCCAGATGATCGTCGTTCTACTACCCGTTTTCTCCTTTATTTGGGACATAATCTTATTGCATGGGCATCTTGGATGCAGCCCACTGTGGCTCGCTCGTCTATTGAGGCTGAGTTTCGTGCGATTGCCAATGTTTGTGTTAAGCTACATTGGGTGTTTCATCTGTTGTCTGAGTTTGGTGTTTAATTACGTCGTTCTGCCTCTGTTTGGTGTGACAACAGTACTGCAGTTTTCCTTGCTGATAATCCCGAGTTTCATGCCCGTACTAGACATGTTGAGGTGGATTTTCACTTTGTTTGATATCATATTGGTGGAAGTTTGTTTCAGTACACTCTGTGTCTGCTGCTGATCAGATTGCTGATATTCTGACCAAGCCATTGTCCAAAGATTTATTCCTTCGTTTCAGGGACAAACTTCAGCTTCTCCCTTGTCCGCCGTCCGTTTATGGGAACGTATTGTAATATATGTATTTCCTATTATAGCCTTGTGTATGGGGTTTAAGTATTATCTATATATACTTTGTCTATTATATATCAGATCACAATGATGAAATACAATATCTATTATTCTAAGTGTTACAAAACAGCCAAATAAGTCAATTCACAATCAACCAAAGCTTTCTAAAAGCAAATGTTCATAATACCTGTACTAACCTGCAGTTTTGGACTTGATGAAGTTCATAAAAGCCTGACGGTGGCTGAACATTACAGTTCGGCCAGAAACTCATGCAGTGGAAGTCATCAATATAAATACCCATCGATAGTGGCAAGTTTAGGTCAAAGGTAGTGACTGTTTCTGGGATGATGATGCGATCTCATTGTGAATCAAAATCACTATGACAATAATCTCCAATCAAGGACTCCTTTTGTAATTTCATTCATGAGGAAATATGAGAAAATATTGGCTCATGTGGAAGATGCTTAAGGGATTCAACTCAGATCTGTCTCCTTTATTTTTTTTTCCCCTAATTCTGGTTTCGATTTGAGAAGCGGAAGGATCTTATCCTCGGATTTTTAAAGATTTGATTGATGTATAATTGATAGATATTGTTGTTGGGATAGCACTTTATAGATTTGATGAACTAATATTCGTCTATTAAGAGGCACGGTTACCGAATGGTTATATAATAGTGTGGGGCATGCATATGAGAATCTTCGTGAGTATTGTTTAGAATGCAAAAAGGTGGGGCATGCATCAAAAGATTTTAGACATGTCAAAGCAAAGGTTTCTTTGGGCGTTAATCTTTAGGTAGTTCTGAATAAGCGTGAAAAACAGAACACAGTTCCACTAGTTAACAACAATGTCTGGAAACCAAAGGAGAAATCTTCAGACGGACCTGCAATTGTCACGGATACTGGTAATAAAGCATCATCATCAGGTCTCTTCCGCGAAGGAAAAGGAGCAGATTCCGATCGATTTGGAAGTTAAAGGAATGCCAAATCAGCCTATATCATCAGCAGAAAGGAGGATCTCTAACAGCAATTAAGTTGTATAATAGAAAAAAATGAAAATGAAGATTGCATCTGGGAAGAAGATGATCCAGGAAAAAACTTCAAACATGGATGATCAAGGTAAACAGCTCGTCGTTTACATTCCGTTGGTAAATTTATCAGCCAGATTTGATATATTAGCGGAGTTGCAAGAGGATCAGATACTAGATAATGAGAATGCAGCTGAAAAGGACGCTTTGATAAAAGAAAATCGAGGGGAAGGAGACACAGAATCTGAAACAGAAAAGATTCCTGTAGATGATCCAAAAGAACAAAATCAAGGAAACTTGGCTATAAGTGAATTTTCACATGATGACTCTGTAATTGGGTAACACTCCGTCATTAATGATGAGTCATTCACACGAATTGTGGTCTCTGATGATGAAGGAAAGCGGAAGAAACCTGGCCGTCCAAAAGGATCAACGAAGGACAAGAAAATCACTGGTACTGAAACTCGTAAAGCATCGAGGCTAAATGGTGACTCCTCTCCTAAAGTTTCCAATGACTAATCAGATCATATGGAATATTCGTGGTGTCGGGAATAAGGCAACTCTTCGCGGACTTAAAAATTTAGTTGCTATGCATTCGATTTCCTTTCTGATTATCATACAGCCTATCTTACCGCCTTCTAATTTGGAAGAGTTGAGGAATAAACTCCATTTTAATGAAGCTTTTTCGTCTGTTTCTGGAAAGATTTGGGTTCTCTGTATAGCTGAATGGTCAGTTCGATTGCTAGGCGGTTCTGAACAGGTCATTCATTTGGAAGTTGAAAATCAAAAAATACCTAGGAAAGTGTTGGTATCAGGAGTCTACGCGAAGTCAACAAGGCAGAAAAGGCAGTATCTCTGGACTGAATTGCAAGACTTCTCTGATCAGAATATCGGCCAGCCATGGATGCTAGGTGAGGATTACAATGTAATCAGAAATCTGGACGAGTATAGAGGATCATAACAGCCTGATCAGGGAGCAATTGACGACTTTAACTCATGGATAGAAAGTTGCAGACTCATGGAGTTAAATCCGTTGGGTAATTTGTTCACCTGGACAGGAAATCGTCAAAATGGTCGAGTCTTGAAGCGTTTGGATGGAATCTTGTTCAACCAGGAATGGATGGATCTTTTTTCTATTTCTTCAATCTAGCACCTCAATCGATCGACGTCGGATCATGCGCCATTATTACACCAATTTAGAATTGAAACTGAAACTCGGCCGAGCATATTTCGTTTCCAGAAAATGTGGATGAGAAGGGACACTTTTATGAGTGTTGTGAAGGATAACTGGGAACGTCCAATGGAGGAAGCTGGAATGTTAGGTTTCTCTTTGAAGCTTTGACCATTAAAAGCTTGTCTAAAAGAATGGAACAAAATGGAATTTGGAGATGTTTTTCTGAATTTAAAAAATGTTGAAGATGCTGTTAGAGTTAAAGAGCTGGAATATGATCAATCTAGTTCTGAGGAAGCTAAAATTGAGATGAATCGGGCACAAGCTTTCTTGCTACTCAAATGGCACGAACATGAAGACTTCCTACAGCAGAAAACAAAATTAAAATGGTTAAAGGAGGGTGATGCCAATACAATATTTCCACGCCTCACTGTCTGAAAAGAAAAAGCGGCTTGGAATTCATAAAATCCGTGGTCATGATGGATCTTGTCTTTCAAACAGAAATGATATTGAGCGGGAAGCGTGTTTTTCTTCCAAAATTTGCTAACAAATGAAGCTACTGAGCATCAAGAGGAGGCAAGCAGGAGGATGTTAGCAAATATTCCATCAATTCTGGATGTTGAAGACAATGAAAGATTAATGCAGCAGCCAACGTTTGATGAACTTAAGGACACGATATACAGTCTTGATCCCAAAAGTGCTCCGGAGATTGACGGATTTGGTGGCGAATTTTATAGGCATTGTTGGTCTATTATTAATCAAGATTTGATGGCAGCTTGCTGGGAATTCATGAATGGTATCCCTCTCCCTAGGGCAAACGCAAGTACGGTTATCACTTTGCTTCCGAAGAAAGCAACAGCTACATCTTTCGCGGATTTCCGCCCGATAAGTTTGTGCAATTTTGTTAATAAGATGTTCGCAAAGATACTAACGGAGAGAGTGAAAAAGGTGCTTCCTAAATTGATATCGGAGGAGCAATCAACTTTTTTGGAAAGTCGTGATATTATGGATAACACACTTGTTACTCAAGACCTCATCCAATTTCTGGATCATAAAACAAGGGGGGGAATTTAATCTTGAAAGTTGATATGATGATGGAATTTGATCAAGTTTCATGGAGTTTTCTTCATGAGATCTTATTGAAATTCGGTTTTCATCAAAGTTTTGTCAACTTGATAATGATGAACTTGTCTAGAAGCTGGTTCTCAATTCTTCTCAACGGAAGTCCGGTTGGCTATTTTCAAGCTTCTCGTGGTGTAAAGCAAGGCAATCCTCTTTCGCCTTATCTCTTTATTTTTTTGTTAGAAGACTTGACTCGAAACATGAAAAAACTCATGGCAGTCAGGCGTTTAGCATCTTATGGAGTGCAGCTAGGGCGATTGTTCCATCTCACTTGTGTTTTGCGGACGACCTAATCATTTTTACGACAGGGTCACAAAAATCTATGCAGCAATTGATGAGTTTTTTCCAGGACTACGAAGATTCTACCGGACAGAAAATGAACAAGCAGAAGAGTACTTTCTTCGTCTCGGATAAAAGTTTAATGGAACGCATTTCTCTAATTGAGAATACATTACAAATGCAAAGAGGTTCATTCCCCTTCGTGTATTTGGATTGTAAGTTATTTAAGGGAAGGAAAAAAGTGGAATATTTCCATCACTTGCTTGAAGCTTATGATGCTAAATTACGGAATTGGAAGAATCATTTCTTGTCGTAGGGTGGGCGCTTGTTGCTGATTAATTATGTTCTGTCGGCAATTCCCCTTCACACTATTGCAGCCATTGTCCCTCCAAAATTCATCATAGAAAGTCTTGAGAGGAAATGTTAGAATTTTCTTTGGGGAGATACTGAAGAAGGGCCAAATCGTCATTGGCGAGCTTGGCGTAAGTTGACTTACCCGGTGCAAGAAAATGGACTAGGAATTCGGAGCTTGGAACACATGATTCAAGCGTTCTCCATGAAGCTCTGGTGGAAAATAAAATCAAAGCAAGGAATCTGGTCCAGATTTATTAGTTCTCTATCTGATTCATCGAAGGAAAAAACAAGTTGGTCCCGTGTAGAGAAGCTAGCACAACTGGCGGCTTCTCGGAGCAAAGTATCTATTCGCGATGGTTCTTCCTCCTTCTGGCGCGATTCATGGCTGGATTCTTGACCACCTTGGCACGATTCTAGAGACCCTCTTGCACTAGATTTGACATTGAAGGATTTTCATTTGGGCAAAGACTTTTTCTTATAGGTATTTTCAGGATTGATTGATCAACATACACTGGACAACCTGCGGAACATGGAGCTATGTTTTGTGGACGAGAAGGATGCTCTGATTTGGAAGCCACCAGCAACGGGAATCTTCTCTATTGCTTCAGTATACGAGGAAGCCCGGCATCACAGAGAAGAATTTCATCCTTTAACAAATTTTTGGCATAAAATAATTCCTGTTAAAGTTTCTTTGTTTACAAAAAAACTTTTTAACAATTTCCTGCCTTTTCCAGAAACTTTGAACTAACTTGGAATGGTCATGAGCCCTTCGAGATGTCCGTTTTGTCAAGCCGAGGAAGATCGCATAGAGCACTCTTTTTATGCTTGTCCAAAAATTATTCATGTTTGGCAACATTTTACTAATCTTTTTGGAATTATGATGCCTAGTAACGCAGGATGGTGGGGTAGCTTGAAAATTTGGCAAGGGGCAGTTTTACTTTAGTCAAAAAATCAATAATGATAGTCATACCAATATTCCTGTTGTGAGAGATATGGAAGCTGAGGAATAAAATCATATACGATGGTATGCATTTTTCTTTGAATTTTTTGATTAAAGAAGTAATGACTAATGTCTTATCTATGTTGAGTGTTCATGATTTAAAGGCGAAGAATTCAGAAGAGCAAAAAGAGTTAGAAGATCTCTTTAAAGTGAAGGTTCGTCAGCCGAATAATAAGAAGATCACGGTGTTGAGGTGGAAGCCACCAGATCCTGAGGAAGCAGCTTTAAACACGGATGGATCTGCTTAAGGACAACCAGGAGAGGCTGGTTAGGGATATGTTATTCGAGGAGCAAATGGTTTGTTTAAATTTACAGAATGCGGTTACCTAGGGAATGCCACAAGTTTTGAAGCCGAAGTCGCAGCCATTTACAATAGACTAAAGGCCTGTGAAGAGCGAGGATTCAATCGAGTGACAGTCCAAACAGACAACAAAAGTATTGTTTCATTGATACAAATGGGTAATCACTTTCCATGGAAACAATACATGTGCTTGAAAAGTATACAAAACAAGTTGTTCAACACAAATTCTAAACTTGTTCATATTTTCCGGAGGGTCAATAGTGTGGCAGATGAACTGGCTAAAAAAGCCTCAACAGGGTGCACATTGCAATATCATTCACAAGAAGCTCTTCCAAACTCATTACGAGGTAAGGTCTACTTAGATCGGAATTTTTTTTTCCTTATCTGCGGGTTAGATACTTTTTTTTAGAAAAAAAAATAGATTATAGCATAAGATACATAGAGATGTCATAGGATTATTGTTAAGATCTTTGTACGACATTCTCTTAGTTTATAAATATTTTTTTTTTCAAATTACAAATGAACTATCAGGGGATATATTTTATCTTTGTAAGACAGTTCATAGCTAATGTTTTGTTAAAGAACCGTCATGAAGTTTTTAGACAAACTTTCTGTAAGACGGTCTCTTTTGATTTAGCTAAGTTTTAATCACTGTCTTTTGTAATTTTTTTTTGTAAATCAATAAAATTGGGAGATGCCCGCCTGGTACCGTCCTGGTTCTCTTGAAAAAAAAGTTATAGAATAACGTGGTTATTGAAAGTATAAAGTTTTTTTCCTTTTAATAAATTATGAAATGGAGAAAATTGACACATAGGATTTAATCTTATGTATCAAGTGGAAAACAACCTTAATTTTCTATCTTTGGATTTTCCATTAGTAAGTTATATAGATAGATAGATTTAAAAAAATAAGATTTGACTTTTGTTATGATTTTGAAGATAAGGTTAATGGGGATTTAATTTTAACTTAACTACTAAAGAAAAACTGTTGAACTCATTTGAGAAGCGATAAGCATTTTAAAATATGTTTTTTTTTTAGAATAAAATTTTGATTTGAATTTTTTTTGTAAAGATACTTCTTATGCTTTTATTAGTTCTCTTCATATATTCAGCGAATTTCATCGTCACAACTCATTTTTCAGCACGTAAATGTGTTTTTTTTTTTTCCGAGCTAAATTTACACGTTTTTTTTATCTTTGCAATCCATTATTTTTTTTTTCTGTATTTCAATTTTTCTCGAACAGCATTGTGTCCAATGAATGACTGATATTGATTACGGAATTTAATTTGTGTTTAAATATGATCTATGCAGAAACTCTCGATGGATTTACATTATAGTTGATTAGTTCCAGAAAATATTGCTCAAAATGGTTTGGTAATTCGTTCGCCTAAATTAATTATTTTTTTGTCAATGTTGGTGTATCTTGTATTAAAATTTTTAGTATCTTATATTCTTGTTGTCAATGTTGGTGTATCTTGTATTAACTTGCAGATAATATCCAGTCATGTGTAGCAGAGATGGAGGAGTGTTTTATCTGGGTCTGGAGATTCGCAGAGGAAGAGCATACAATCGAAGTCAGATGTTTCCAAGATCAATTCTTTTTGGTATTTCTTTTTGTTCATTTTGGGAGAATTATACTGATTAATTTCCTAGTTTCCTGTTCGTTTGAAGACGACGGAGATATTAGTTCCCCTGTTTTTCTGTATTCCGTCCATGATGAATCCACATTCATGA